GGGGATCTCGTAGTCGAGCAGTCTCGACTAGAGCTTTCTTTCTTGTTTTTTTTTCATTTTCTTTTCTCTTTTGTGTAAAAATGCAAATATGTAGTTCAAAAGGTCTTTAAGCGGCAAAGTTCTTCTATGCGCTTCTCAAACATCCGCCTGATATGCATCTGTGAATGCTTTGTCTGAGCCGAAATGGCAAAGCTCTACCCAGTCTAATACTGAGCTGAGCCACTGGCTGAGCTTAAGCATTAGAGAGAAAACATAATTTTGCGCTTTCCAACACTGCTTATTAACTGCTATGACAATTTCTATGTCCTTAGAATTGACGCTGTGGCAAATCCTTTTGCAAGCTGCCTTCCACGAAGCACATTTCGCAAAAATAAAAAAAATGTGTGCAAGCGAAAGCGATTTCATAGCAATTTGCTTTAGTTGTTGTTGTTGTTGCCATTGTTTTTTTGCAAAACACGCCTTGATCTTTCCCACACCCACACTCATACAATCACACACATACATACATAAATATGTACGTATGTAAACAGAGTATTGCATGCAATGGGCACAGCGTGCTGACTCCCCCAAAGCAAGAAGAAGAGGAATAACAACAACATTGAGCTTTATAATAACGCGCAGCATGCAAGCGACACATACGCACACACACACACACACACACAGCGACTCATACTAGCACACAGTGGGTGGGGAGCTAGCTGTTACGGTACATGCACCGTTACAACGAGAGCAGAAGTTAACTGGCGGCGGCAGCAAACACGTGACCCGCCAATTGTGACAATTGGCAGCAGCGACGACAGCACAAAAAATTCGCTGCGAAAATCAAACGAAATTTACAAAATGTGATCGAGTGTATAAAACTGCCGCCAGTTGGCGCCACGATCGACGCACGTAAATACATATGAATGTGTGTACGTAAGTGCGTGTGTGTGTGTGTGTGTGTGTGTAATTGGAGAGTTTCGGTTTCAGCTCCTGCTTGGCATTGTTGTTGCTTTAGTAACTTTGCCGGCCGGCCGCCATTTTGCACGTGCGATCGAGAAAAAGCCGCTTGTCGCTTGCTTTTGGCTTTTAGCTGCTCTGTTGTTGGCTCTTTATGTGTGAGCAGAGCTGTCGCTGCCTTTTATTTATTTCCGGCCTAACAAACACTTGGCCTAAAAAGACCAAACACACTTTGCCATTTCCCACACCAACGCGCACAAACATGCACAGACATGCACACACAGTCAAATTGCACTTTATTTGCCGTTTGTTTGTAATTAGAATTGAATGCCGCGCACTTTTATATAATCGTCAATTTTGCATTGACACAATGCCCTGCGCGTCCGCCTCAAAAAATAAACAAATAATTTTTTTGTTTTTGTTGTTGTTTCTGCCGTTACTGGCACGCACTTCACTTGCAACAACTGCAACGAGCTAGCTAATTTTTTTTTTTTTTATATATTCTTTATTCGATTGCAATTGCTGCGCTGCTTGCTGTTGCTGCTGCGTTTGCTGCTGCTGCTGATTTTGTGCGCGCACACGAACGCGACAACCAACAAGACGACACTGAGACACGGCCACGGCAGCCAGCCCCAACGTAGCTGAAGCCCCCAAACAACACACTGACACTGAGGCAGCAACGGCAGCAGCAGCAGCGGCAGCGACGGCGACGGTAGCGGGTCACAGTAGCACACGCTGCATTTGTAGTGGTTCGTAGTAGTTGAGCAAAGCTTTGGCCGCGACGTCGGCAGCGACAGCGTGTGTCAGTATGTGCGTCTGTGTGTGGGAAATGTTCACATTGCATCAGCCAGCCGGCTGCATCATGCCGAAAAGCCAGCGCACAGCTGATAAGTGATAAGCAGTGCAGAGAACGCTCTTGTACGTGTTTGTGTGTGTGTGTAAGTGAGAGAGCGCGTTGCCGTTTAAGAGCGCATAGTTTACATTTAAGAGCATCGCTTTCATTCGCAATTTGTGTGTTATGCTGAAGCTTTCAAAGCTCGCGCTGTGCATATTCTGAAAGCGAATGCTTTGCATAGCTTTTGTTTTTGAATTCGATTTTAAATGCAAATCGATAGTTATATTCAGCTAGATTTTAAAAAGTTTTCCGATATATTGAAAACCTATACCATTTTCTGTCCGCGAAGCTTATTATTGTTAATAAATATAATAATTTAAATATGTATATGTATGTATATTATTATTTGTAACATACAAATTGCATACATCTCGCTCTTTATAACTACCCGTAAGTAGTCCAGAGCCTCACTGGCCTTTTTATACCCTAAGCCCATTGACAACGGGTATGTTGGTTCTTTTTTTAGGTTTTTGAAAGTTTGTGAAGGTTTTATTGCATTTTATCTGTTTTTTTGCTTTTTTTCTTTTTGCTAGTATACGGTAAATTTTGGACTATCAGCCTACAACCAGAATCTGTGTTCAATATATCTGCACTTTATACAAAATACCAAACAAACAAAAACTGTTTGAAACATCTGCCAACAATGTGGAAAAAACGCTGTAAAATGTTATTAGAGGAAGTACTTTTGCTTCAAAGGTGTTCGGATAGCGAAAGATTTTGTTAGAATATTTTCTTCGTTTAAAGCACGTCGTGAATTTCAGCGATCCCGGTGGAAGTCCACATTCCCTAGATGATCTGCTTAGACTACAACAATGATAACAACAGCCACTAGAATATATAAAGACGATGACAACGACGGCGATTCCAGATTCCAGACGTCTACGTCTAGGTGGAAGCAGTCGCAGGCTTCGTGGGTGGCGTTGTGTCTGTTGTGTCTGTCCTGGCGGGCTCCTCCTTCTCCTTGTTCCAGCTCTTGAGGCCCTCGGGCAGCGTGGTGTCCTCCTCAAAGGATCCGGTGCCCTCAACAAACTCCTCGTACGTGGACTTATCCTTGAATGGACGCGGCCCCAGCAGCTCGATCATATCATCGCGACTGAGCACCTCGTTCTGCAGCAGACGCTCGGCCACACGACGCACATCCTCCTTGTGCTTGACCAGCAATTCGGTCGTTGTTGTGTGCGCACACTTAATAATGTCCCTCACCTCACCGTCGATCAGCATGGCCGTGTCCTCGGAGTAGGGTTTGCTGAACACCGGATCACCCGACTGTCCCACATCGAAGCTCACTTGGCCGACCTTCTCGTTCATGCCGAATCGCACCACCTGCGAGTAGGCAATGTCTGTGATCTTCTTCAGATCGTCCTGCGCGCCCGTTGTGATGCGATTGAAGAACAACTCCTCAGCCACACGGCCGCCCAGGGTCATGCACATGCGATCGAAGAGCTGCTCCTTGGACAGCAAATAATGATCCTTGGGCAAATACTGAGCGTAGCCAAGACCCTTGCCGCGCGGTATAATCGAGACCTTTAGCAAGGGATCGGCGTGCTCGAGGAACCAGCCGGCCACCGCATGCCCCGCCTCATGGTGGGCCACCGTTCGCTTCTCCTCGGGTGCCAAGACGTTGGTCTTCTTCTCCATGCCCGCGATGACACGCTCGATGGCCTGCTCGAAATGCTTCAGCACAATGGAGTCCTTGGAGTCACGCGCCGCAATCAACGCCGCCTCATTACAAACGTTCGCAATGTCGGCGCCAGTAAAGCCAGGCGTCAGCGCTGCCATCTTCCGGGACAGGGCATTCTTGTCCAGCTCTGTCTTAAGGGCACCCAGATGCACTTTGAATATGCTCGCCCGGCCCTTGATATCGGGCGCTGGCACATAGATCTGTCGATCGAAGCGACCCGGTCGCATCAGCGCCTTATCCAGTATATCCACACGATTGGTGGCCGCCAGCACCACCACATTGGTGGTCGTATTGAAGCCATCCATTTCGACCAGCAGCTGATTCAGCGTGTTCTCCTGCTCCGAATGACCGCCAAAGGTTTTGCCGCCACGCTTGCGGCCCACAGCGTCGATTTCGTCAATGAACAAAATGCAAGGCGCGTGCTTTCGTGCCATGGCAAACATGTCGCGCACTCGGGACGGGCCCACGCCGACAAACATCTCCAGAAACTCCGAGCCGGAGACGGTGATGAAGGGCACATTCGCCTCGCCAGCTGTGGCCTTGGCCAGCAGAGTTTTGCCTGTACCGGGCGGACCGGTCAGCATGGCACCCTTCGGTATTTTGGCGCCCAGATCGATATACTGCTGTGGATTCTTCAAGAAATTGACAAACTCCATAATTTCAATTTTTGCCTCCTCGCAACCGGCCACATCTCTGCAAGAGAGCGAAAGAGAAAGTAGTTTTTAATGGGATCTCATTTAAGCTGAAGAACGTCACTCACTTGAAGCCGACGCCAATCTCTGTGGGATTGATTAGCTTCGCTGTCGATTGCATAACACCGCCAAACAGGCCACCGCCCTTGCGTCCACGCCCAGCGCCCATCATATCCGCCGACTTGCGCATCATATAGACAAGGAAACCAATGATTAGGAGCGTGGGCAGCAGGCCAGTTAGACTGGATGCCTCCACTTCATTGCGATAGATGACGGGCACGAAATTGATGGACTCGATGCCTTGCTCTGTTTGCGCAGTCTCCAAATTTCTTTCGAATGAGTCCACACTGCCAATGTTAAACCACAAGACGCCGCTGCTGCTCTGACTGGGCAGCAGGCGGACGCGCACCCACTTTTTGTTAACCACCTCCAGTTTCTCGACGGCGCCCTTGGAGAGATAGCTGGATACAGAGAGAGCAAAAGATTTTCAGTTCGATTACATAATCAGATGAAGTTGTAAAATTAAATTGATGATGCAATCCCTTGGCCCTTGTGATGAAATTCACCTGTTGACAAACTCCTTCCAGGAGATCTCCTTGTAGCCCATTTCGAAGAACGCAAAGGAGGCAATCAGTACAACTGCGCCAATGGCTCCAAACAGTATCCAACGTTCCCGATCACCGCCGCCGCCCTCACCCAGCGGACGACCACCCGGCGTCCCCGTGCCACGCGCCCCTGGGCCTCGTGAGCTGTTGCTGAACATGCCAAAGTTCCAATCCGATTTGGGTTCATTGGAACTGCTGGGTCGCATCGCGGGTGGTTTGGATTTGCTGCTGCTACTGCTACTGCTGCTGCTGCTCGTTTGTTTGCTGTTTGAAGCCGCACTTTTATCCCCCTCGGCGGCTGCTTTTGGTTTACCTTTGCCACCGGCCTCGAAATACTTTTCAAAACCCTTCGGCGGCTTTTTGCAGAACAGTTGAAGCTGCTCCACAATGTACCGCACCAGTGGCGTCAACTCAAACGGGGCGCCATTATGCTGTAACTATATGGAACATAGAGATTATACAATGATCAAGTATTTACCAATTGATCTACCTTTGGCGTGAGTGGAGACTGAGTATAGCTGCGTTTCATCAGGCTTTTTATTGCCGTCGCCGAGCTGAGGAGCCGGAAAGCCATTTCGCTCTTTGGTTTTGTCTAAGGAGGCGGGGGAGGAGGTGTCAAGTCGGTTTTCTTTAGGTTAAATAACAAGCACGCACCGTTACTTTATGCTACTGTAAAACTTGTCAATTTTGAAGCCACTGTTGAGTTCTTGCAAGGAGCCAAAACCTACCGCCTCATACAGCACAATGTTGTCTTAAGTTATGGCTTTAAAAACAAAAAAAAAAAACTTTTAGATTTTATGGTGCGCTATTGTGAAATTTCGATTTTCAGCTAATAGTTGAAGGCAGTGCTCACATTCGATAGTTGACCAGGGCTGGCGAACTAACGACCGGCAGTGTTGTACAGCACAGCCAAATGACCAATTATAAACTTTTACTAATGTAACTAAACTAATTACCATAATATATTAATTATAACTAATCACTAAATTTATTATATACTTGCCTGACATATATTGGTAATGAATATTCGCAAAGTGACGTCACAACTGTTCTGCCATTTGTATACAACGTTTACCAACACTAACCAACATGGCGTCCGGTGTTGTGCTGTGTCGTGTGGTACGTATTGCTAGTTGTGAAAATTTTCTTTTGCTCAAATTAGCCAATAAATTAACTCAAATTCACAATGAAAATATGCACAAAACGCGTTCCAGTCAATAAGCTTGTGATTTAAGATAAAACGTCGCCTTGGGCATTGCGTTTTATCGTATTTGATAAGTTTTCTCTAACTGTCTGAGCGCAGGGTACGCAATTTGCAGGCCGAAAAAAAAATCTTGAAAAAAAAAAAATTTTGCTACCGACTTGACATGTACATGTGGATGTGTGCTAATGAATGTGTATTTGTGTGTCTGTACAGTTGGCTGCTAAAAACCATAACAAAAATGTGTAAAAATAGTTTACAAAATGCCTTCAATAAGTTTTTCGTCTGACATCGGTGTGCCTTTGTAGGTGTGCGTGCAATTTTTTCCGGTACTCTGCGATAGTGGTGAGGGCACAATACAATAGTAAAATCTCTATGCAGCTTCTGTGTGCGTGTCAATGTG